AAGCCAGTAAAAGCTGAAGATTTGGCCAATGCTTCTATTGCTCCCGAGAATATCTGATGAAGTCATGGAAAGATGCAGGGAGCTTCCTGTCATCTTTAGGTACTTGTTCTTTTTCTATTGCTACAGTATAGACAGGTGGAGAAGTTGAACTACTAAATGATTGGCGAGTTGATACAAAATTCTAAGCACATCATATGTGTCTCTAACTCTTTAAATGTCACAATTCACACAATTACACTCTGCTGTTACTTGGGAGGGGATGAAGATAAATGGTGCATCTAAATGTAGAGAGAAGATTTCTTGTTGAATTTCTTTCTCAATTGTGTCAACTTTAAACCTCAAATTCCAATTGTTCATTTCATTTGTATCTCTAGGAGGATGTGTGATATTTTTGACAAGATCTTGTTTTGGCTGCCAAAAACGACTTGTATCTGCTCAGTTCTCAAATTTATTCATGTTTCTTTTTCTTCTTTTGGCTATATCCATAGACAAACTGCCTGTTAGAATTGTGAATCAAGTAATGCAGTTGATCCTGTTGATCTTCTGATACTCCTTTTGAAAACTTTGAAGCAGATTAAGACAGCAGGGGTGACAAAAGGTCTGAAATTTAGAATAAGATACCATTATGTATTAATGCTCTATGCTTGACTCCTGCAAATATGGTTATTGTAATCAGATTATGGAGGTTTTTGAGTGCCTAAAGATGCAAATCAAAGCCGCAATATAGGCGTCATCTTCTCTTCAGAGAAGTTATGAAGAATGGTTTACTTTTATCTTCATGTTCAGAGTTTCAAACCGTTGAGATATGATGTTAGTAGCATGGACAGTCTTTCTGAATTATTGAATTGATGGAAAACATTTGGATGCACGAAAGTTATTCATTTTCCATTATCTACCTTTTACTGGCTATTTATTTTTTATTTTTGAGGTCCATTATCTGATGGTGGACCTCAACGCTCAACCAGAAAGCTTTCTCGTCATGCAGCTGATGATAAAAGGATCAGTCCATCATCTCGGTTCGAAACATCAATATTCAGCTGATGAAGTATAATGAAGATGGTGTCCCCGAATGTCGACCATGGACATCCAATGAATATATTTTCCTTTTGTATCAAGAATGGTGTTTAGAAATTCTAAGAGTCTTTGGTACTACACAAAACAAGAAATCGAACACGGGATAAAATCCTATCCTTTACTTGACAATATGAGCCATTTACGTAACCATATATTCTCTCTCTCTCCCCCCCCCCCCCCCCTTTTTTTCTATTTTTTTAAAAGCCAAGTACCATGTTCTTTTGATGAACTCTCTGCAGGCTGCAGCATTGATTCTTACTTGTTCATGTCATTTCAATTAACAGTGAAATCATTCTTTCCTTGGTCTTTTCCTTCACGAATAAAAAGGTTTGCCACAACATTCATTTAGAGCACAACCCTAGTACCCTACAAAAAATTTAACAGGCCTTCACAATGGCTACCAAGCCTCATCATGATGCAGACACCAATGACATAATATACCCAAAGGCAAGCATAATTACTCCTCTTCTCTACAATCCCTCTGGTCTAAAATAGTTGTTGCTTAAACTTTTTGCACTCAAGTTTAAGCATATGTGATTTTTCCTCTAAATCTTCTTTATATATACAGGATGGTAACGGTTTGTTCATTTTTGGACCTAGAGCATTCAACATAGCCTTCGGAAATGACCGTCGCTATTGGAAACTTCCCAAGAGAGAGTTAGATTTTTTTTTTTTTTCTCTTTACTCTTCTGAGTCGATCTTATTTAGTCTATATATCCTTAGTTATTAGCATTTGTACTATGTTTTTGTATAGGTCTGATGGTCCAGTAGAGCTGGTTAAAGTGTCTTGGCTACAAGTAACAGGTTTAGCAGCAGTCGAGAGGGGAAAGAAGTATCAAATAACCTTCAAGCTCAGCATGAAGGCGAACAACAGAGGGTGGAGGAACAGCCCCGTTTATTTGATGGCTAAGATAGGCAGGAGGGGGGAGTACAAACGTAAAAGGCTGCAACTGGATCACTCTCTGATGAAGGAAAAGGAACCCACTTGTGTTCCAAACTTTTCTGGTGGAACCTTTGAAATTTTTGTACCGGAGACAATTCTTGACAATAGGCTCTTCTTTGGATTGTATGAGGTTTGGAGCGGCAACTGGAAGGAAGGTCTGCGAATCCACGGCGCAATTGTCAAAGAAATAGAATAAGCAAAGTAGCCTACAGGCCGACCATGCATAAATGATCCAACGAGGCATCGCTCGACATAAACTAACTAGCTTTATTGAGGTGCGTTTCATTATTGTTGCCTCGGTTATTATTACATGAAATAATTATTAAGGCAACATAAATATTATTTTTTATATTAATTATTTACTATTTTGTCCTTTTATCACTTTTATCATTTTGTCTTTTTTTTTTTAATAATAAATATGTGAATGGAATGTTAATTTAAGTATAATTTTTTTATATTGATTATATAATAAAAGGTAATTTTTATTATTTTTTATCTTATTTTACTCGCATATCATATTATTTAAACTTAAAATATCTTATTTTCAAAGAAAAAAAATTATCACTGAATAAGGGTGTTCACATCCAATCCAATCCAATCCAAAACTGAATTCAATCGATATAAAATTGAATTGGTTTGGATTATAAAATTTTAAATCGATATAATTGGTTTGATTTATAATTTTACTTTCAAACTGCTTAAACCGTCCGATTACAAAATAAAATCCGATTACACGATAATTTAATTAAATTATATAGTATATTTTTTGTAATATTTAAAATTTTTTTTTATTTTATAAGATGCTAACTCTATTAACTTAATTTAAAAATAAAAATAAAAATATGTTAGAACTTCATGTTTACGGTAATTATTAAATCAATATATCTAAACTAAGATAATCATATTCAATTTAATCCAATTGATCTGACTTAAAATTGATCCAATCTAATAAAAAATTAAATTAAATTAATATAAAATTAGATTGATTTAGATTATAAAATTTTTAAATCAATATAATTGGTTTGATCTGTAATTTTACCTTCAAACTGCCCAAACCGTACAATTACAAAATAAAATTTGATTACATAATAATTTAACTAAATAATATAGTATATTTTTT